CGGTGCGCGCACGTCCCGTACGGCGTCGCCGCCGTCGTCTCCCGCAGCCGGCCGTCGTAAACCCCTTCGCCCCACGGCCGCGGCGCACGTTTCTTTTCGGCGGCCGATGCGTGTGCCGGTTTCATACGGCCCACAGCACGCCGGCGGTCCGTTCGTCTGCGCCGCGCCGGGCATTCGTTTGCACCGCGATCGGCGCCGGGTAGGTACCGCAACCGCCCGGTGTTCGCGTCATACGCACTCGATAAATCGATTAAATAACTCGCTTTCTCTCTGGCAAAGGCGCGGTTACTCTCGCCAGTACGCGCGCACACACACGCACACGCACGTATAGGCATTTTCACACACACACACCGCGGCTTTCGTATTATATTACACGCGGTATATCCCATATAATATAGTTCTTCTCGCGGCCAAAGCTGCAAAGGGCGGAAACGCATTAATATAAAACGTTCGCGCACGCACACGCGGCGAAAAACTCGCCATCAATCCGTATAATATATTATTGTTGTAGTGCGTACGCACGTATAATATATATATGTATACATACATGTACGGCGTGTTGCGTAAGTGCGGTGTACTCGTATACAACATACGTGTGTGTATATATATACGTACGTACAAGGGGGCCGCCTTAAATCATGTCCGTTTCCCTAACCCCAACCCCACCCCCTCCTCCATCTCTTCTTTCCCCCCCCCCCGCCCGCCAGCCCGTTTAGCCGTCGTCGACGCGCGCGGTCGGTGCGTCTGTGCAGCGTGTATTTCGTCGGCGGCGGTGCGGCCGGCGGGTTCTCGTTTTATATTATAAACACGTTTATTTCGCTCCCCCCCCTATCATACCCTCCACCCCGCCACTCACGCCTCTTCGCCGCGCCGCGCCGATCTCGCTCCGTCTTCTCCGCGTCGCCGTCTCTCCGTTTTTTTCACGCGCCCGAAATTACAAGCCATCACCGTTATTATTGTTATTATTGTTATTATGATTATGCGCACACGTACGCGTCCGTAAGTGTCCCGCGGGATTTGGCGGGCGGTTTTCCCACGACTAAGGCCGCGGTTTTGTCGCCGTCGCACAATCCGCGATCGCTTACGCGCAACGGCGGCGATCCGGTTTTTTTCTCGGGCGCCGTTCGTCGCGTTTTCGCCGTCGATTGTTCGTCGATTTGTTGAACGGGCACCGTTCGCCCGTCGCACGCGCTTTCTCGCAACGCGCTTGCCGATCCCGCGGAGCGGTTTGAGCGGCCGCGCGATGTTTCGGTACGTACTGTTGTGTAATGTTACGGTCGCCGACGGTTTACGGTCGCCGACGGGACGCCGCGGCCCGCCGCTCGTCGCGTTTCGCACGGGCGATTTCCCGTACGCGCACGAACGCTGTCGGCGGGTGCCCGCAGGAACGGCGTGCCGGATCTCGTACGCCGTTCGATTTACGATAAAAAAAATAGTCGGAAGAAACCCCGGACAGCCGATATTAAAAGGTCCCCCTGCACATTACATTTTACGTCAACGTTACGTTATACGCGCGCATCCGCTTAAATTCGACCGCGCGCCGTCCTGGTTTCCGACATTGTCGTGACTCCGAATACGACGTTTAGAGTTTACGGGACGAACGGTAGACAACGCGTCGTTTGAGAGCACGCTGACCGAGAAATAACGACGATTTCATTAAAAAAAAAAAAAAACAGAAACCGTATACGGCCGAACGGTATGATTCTGAAAAAAAAAAAAAAAACATTTCGACCGAACCGTATTCAAGTCGAATGTTTTTCATCCGAAATGCATTTATCCGGAAAACATTACGGCCGACCGTGAAAATTCCCGGACACGTAGTGATGCGCGACAATATCGGTGACTGTCGGTATACCAATTTCTATAATTTTATTTGTCAACGCGCGCCAATAACGTACCTGTGGTCTTTTATTATTGTTCTGCGATATTCTGCGTAGAAAATATTTATGAATAATTAATTTTATTCGCACCTATGGCGCGATTGGTCAACCGCGTCACGTGTCACATCAAAAACTGAAATAGCCAATTACGTTACAACTGCAGGATTTGCCGCGCGTTCTTTCTAATTTTCGTGCAAGACAACGGCGTTCAAAGTTTTATAATTCACCGTTTTCTGATTAAAAATGGACGTGTACATCAGCAGTCTTTCAAAACAACGAGTAGAAATTTACAAGTTTATAACTAGTAAAGTTTCGCCATAGAACACTGTCGGTTGCAATATTTTCGGCGGAAATATTTTTCCGCGCGAATATTTTCGGATGAAATCAACTTTCGGCTTGAAATCACGTTTTCGCTGTATTATTTTCGATTTTTTTTTTTTTCTGTAGACTCACGAAAAACCCATCATGTAGTCGGCATAATACGCGATTTGCAATTGTAACTCCGTATGTTGACTACTTTTCGGCAGACGTAAAAATACCGAAACGTACTATAAAAGCAATACATGCCAGAAAATCACTATAGATATTAATACCAATGGTATCACTACACGAACCTTATTCGATATCATTAGGTATCATTGACAATATTATTATGGCTTTTTTTTTTTTTTAAACAAATTTACGTTAATGAACGAAATAAAGTCGTTCACGTTCGTGTAATAATTGAACGCGTTTTTTTTCAACCACTTGTATTATAATTCGTACTGATTAGCCGATTTTATAGTAGTCTTAAACGACGCGTTAATTTTTGGTTTTTTTCTTCATAATTAAATTTCATAACCTCAAAATTGGATTTTTAAAAACCAACACATTTTAGAGTTGGGACTTCGCGACGAAAGCGCATTTTTCATTTTTTTTTTTTTTTTGTCGCTTTACCCGAACAATTGCCATTTCTGGACGATATAATTGCACGGAACTATAGGCCGACCATAAGATTCACTACGGCAAGCCGTAAACAAATCCCGTGAACGATTCCGGAATCAGAGATCGCGAATCGCGATGGCGCGCAGCCGGACGATGCAACGCCGCGCTGCCGGCCGCCTCAGAAGGCGGCCACATGCCGGATGTTATTTTTCGTGCGTACGTAAATTGGACGAGATGTTACTAAACAAAACAAGTTTACGATAAAACATATTATTGTATTTGTTCGATAAAATCTACACGTTCAGTCGCATTTTCAAATAATTATAATTAGGGCCCGGAGGTTATAGGAGCTAAAAAAGGCAAAATATTTATGCAAATATGTACGGGAAAATTCTAAAATATGCAAACAATTATTCAGTTTATTATTCAAAAACATATAGTTTCATTAATAATATGCACAAAAAAAGATGAAGATTAAATACGAATCGTACCGTTGTACGTTAAATTAATAATAGGCTGAGGTGGGAAGAAATAACAATAAATAACTACGTTAAATAATATTAAGTTTTAAATTTGACATTATTTAAAATAAATCGGTTACAAAGAAAAACGATCATTTTTTTTTTTAAAAATATTAAAAATATGCCAAAAACGATGAAATATGCACTTGTTCTCTAAAATTTACGAAATATGCAAAATATGCACAGTAAATGTTCAATTTTTAAACTCTCCATCGGATGAAAAGTATTTCTAGCGCGGTCCGTTACAAATTCAGTGCACGCAGAAAAATATGCAACTCCCTATAACTTCCGAGCCCTAATTATAACGCAATACGACGAGCCGATTCTGCAGCGCACGACTTCGACGCGCGGCCCTCTGTTGTCATTTTTGTATTTTTTTTTTTTTTTTTTTAAGTCTACCCTTTTCGCTATTCCGAATATCCCGCGTGGTACTCGCCGTCACTGCATCCATACACAATGCATACGTATACCTGTATTGTTGTGCATATTATTATTATTATGATATTATACGAGCGTGTGCATCGGGGTGTGTATACGGAGAGGGGGGGAGGAAAATAACGTCGGTGCAGGTGAAGAGTGGAATAATATTATTGTGCGCACTCGCGTATAGCCCCGACGAAGAGGCGGGCCGAGAGGGGGGGAGGGTAAACGCGATTGCTTTTTTCTCCGGGCCGAGGCGAACCGTGCGGTTTTTGACGCGATCGGGCGAGTATGATGCGATACGTTAAAATTGTATACTGCAAAGAAACCGTATATTCGATCGTTATTTTGAATTAATTCATTTTTTATAATACGTCACCGCGGTCCCGCCTCGAAAATGTTTACGTCACATAGTTGTTGTTATTATTATTATTATTATTATTATTACAGGTACCCGCGGGTATTATACGAAATATTATTATATTACCTATTTGTTGTTTCGTCATTTTTGATAAGGTTTTTATTATTTTTCTGTAACAATTTTTTTTTGTTTTTTTTTAACCAGTATCCGTAATAATACACCATGCCGACTAACGGGCCATAGTTTCGATATTATGATTAATTACATAATCGCGGCGATAAATTAACGACCGAGAAAAACATTTTTGAAACAAAATTTCCAAACCAGTCGATCTTGATTTCATTCATATTCATATTATTATTGTCGGTACGCTACGCTGCCAGTACGCGTACGCGTATACACGAACTGTTATATTATTATTTTCGTTTTTTTTTTTTTTTTTCCTCGTTATTTATTAATACGTTTATTATTCATCGCGTATACGCTCGCGTGTAGTTATTATTTATACGAGTTTTTTTTTTTTTGAAATTACGTAAGTAGGTGAATTTAACCGCGATAAAACATAATATTATTTATTATATATATAACGTACGTATTCTCCGCTTCCCGTCCTAACGGATTACGCGTACAATGCATGTGTAGCGCGTATAGTTTTTAATTTAAAAAAATAAAAAAAAAAATAAAATAGGTAGGTAGGTAGGTAGGTTCTGTACAGAATATTACAATACGGGCTACGTACGTAATTTGGTTTAAATCTCGAACGCGGCGATAAATCATCCGCGAGCAAAATAATATGCATATACAGGTGCGATTCGGTTCGGAGCCCGGTGTACACTGCACGTTTCGCTAAACCGCGTTTTAATATTAGCGATTTATCCCGTGATTTTTTATTTTTTTTTTTTTATTTTTTTTTACACGTAGTGGTCCGTCGAAATTCGAACTTTCAACCGCGTTTGTATAGGCGAAAAGTTCGCGGGAGCGATGGGAAACGCGCGGTAATTACTATACAAATTCAACCTATATTCATGCAACGTGCGTGTATCTGAAAGCGTCGAAAGAAAATACCAATCGTCGTACATATTGATAAACGAAGAGTTCCGAGTGGAAATCGGGAAACCGGTACGGTTGTAATTTATGCGCATAGTATTTATCGCGGTAGCCGGCCAGAGACACGAACGAAAATAAAACCGATAATGTATGTGCACCGCGGTTCGTTTTCAGTTTTTCGGGCAAAAACTGTTGGGAATCGCGAGAAAGTTCACGGTCCAATAGAGTACCGCGGGGCGAAAAAATCGGATCTCACGGTGCGAATAGCTCGGAACATATTACCATTGTATATACCTATAATCGGAAAAATATGTTCCGGGTAAGAGAGAACAAAAAAAAATCGTCTCGGTAAAAAACTGTATAATGTGTGTATTATAACTTAAACAGTTGTTCCGCTGCACGCGCAATACACGGTGAAAAACGAAAATTCATTCTCGGATCGAAATTCGATATCGTCGATAATCGGCGCGGACGGCCGGAGGAAACGTACGTCACGCAGCAAAACCAATAACGCTCGCGGGTCCGTTATTGTTCGCGTCACTCGCAATCCAAAAATCGAAAATATCCGGTGCGGCCGCGGCCGGAATTTCGAATGTTCTACGGTATGCGTGTAGCTCTCGTAAACTGTAACGTGTGCACGAGCACGAAAAAGCTGATAGGCCGTTGACGGACGTGCCACGGTTTCAGAGGGGAAAGTTAAAAGGGAAAACACGCGTGTGTGCAGATAGAGTTCATGTCTGTAGGCAGCCGTCGCTTACGGACAACCGGAGTGGAGTGTGTTGTCGGCCGTGTACGCATATTCGCCCTTTGTATTGCCGGCGTACGAAAATCGACGAAACGTGCGCGCGCGATTTTTCCGATTCGCCGAGAAGACTACGCGGAAAATCGAAAAAAAAAAAAAACACCCGAACCGTCACGAAGTCCGCCGCGTAAAGTTTTCGATCGGAACCGGACGCAGTCTCCGACGCGTGCGGGGAGAGCCGTTTGCAGACGACGCGAACGGAATCGCAGCAAAACCGATTGTACACGCGCGCACCGTATCCCCGGTCGTTCGGTCGCGGGACTCAATGCCGTACACGATATTATAACGATTGTAGAAAAAAAAAAAATAATAATAATAATAATAATAATAACAACGCAGAAAATGTCGAACTCCGCGCGCGGCGTCAAACGGGTGAACGTCCTTGCGTTTACGCCTCGTGACGAAAATGTCAAAAGTATACATTACGGCCAAGTATAATAATAATAATAATAATAATAATAAAATATTCACCATTGTTGTGTCCCGCGTTCTATTAGCGGTACGCCGTATTATTGTTATTATCGTCGTTGTCGTCGTCGTCGAAGGCGAGGTCGGTGCGTCCGTAACGTACGAATAATAATATAATTAGGGCTCGGCCGCTTAAAATCCACGAAAAAGCGACGGAAAAGCCTTGAAAACGCATTTAGAAAAAAAAAAAAAAACAGTAAAAATGATGGCGTGTTTTTAAAATTCTCCCTCCACCTCTCCCTCTAGCGGCTCAATGACTTATACAGTACAATTTTCGAACGCTGTACGCGAGTTAGTAAGTAATATATATATAAAAAAAAAAAAAAAAAATGCGCGTCAATCGTTTTGCAGTACAATACCTGTTAGAAATTTGCATTTCGCGGTCAGAGCCGTTATGAATGTGAGAATTGTAACTCCTCTGAATCCTCTGTTTTTGTTACGTCTGTAATGCCGGTGTAACGGGCAAATCTTACCTCGGGTAAAATATTCCCGGGACACTCGCAACCCCGCGGAAAGCCAAGAATACCCCAGACAAGTATATTACCCCCGGTAAGCATTACCCAAGAATATTATTCCGCGAGAGGGGGCGGTATGGTGTATATTGTATAAGACCTAAAATATACTAAGACCACGTGTGTCTGTCAAAAACACGGCACAAGTTAAATTACGCATTACCCCCGGGAAAATCTTGACCCCGCGTAACGTTGTCCGGAGGTAACATTTGCCGGGTCCGGCGCGAGCTCGGGTGAAAAACGAAGACTCGACTCGGCGCGTTTCAGAGGGCCGCCGCACGTGTCGCCCGCACGCGAGCAGTTTTTCGCGTCCGGGTCGACCATAAAACGTTTTTAAACGCGCGCGCACGCATATGGGAACACAAAACGTTTCCTTTTTATCCTATTTTTTTTTTTTTTTTCTTCTTCTTTCTCCGCCCGTTTATGACTCTCCGTTTACCGCGCTCTCCGGGGCACCCTTTGATTATGTTAAATTATTATATATTGTTATTGTTGTATTGTGTACGTGTCGGCCCGTCGCCGGGCAGTCCGCGGCGTTTACGTACCGACGTTTTTTTACGCGTTCAATGTAATACACATGCATAGATGTATAACACGCGAGTAATATCCTATTTCCTTTACTGTTATATTACTGCGGTTCGTGTCACGGGCCGGTCGTGTCTTCGACGACGCGAGCGTAAATATTGTTACGTACCATTGTAATACTGGTGCGCGACGACGGACAAAACCGTCGCAATACGCGTACGCGTACGGCGCGGTTTACCGAATCGGTCACGACGTCGGTGGATATTTCGGCCGGACGCGTGCGTTTCGCCGTTCCCGTCGCAGCCCGCTGAATTTCGGGAATTCGGGACGCCCCACGATTTTCCGTGGCCCGATCGTTTGTAACGCCAACGTTTTTCGTTGGCGAAATAATAAAAAAAAAAAAAAAAAACCAAACACTTATTGGCATTGCGAAACTGGTGAGACACGAATAAACCTAAAGCGGGACCTTTACGCGGACGTAACGCGCAGAAACCGTGAACGGGTTTTTTAATCGGGAGTGGGACGGTTGAGCCGGGAAAGCGGACGTTACGCGTTCGCTATTCTTTCTACTGTATACGTTGACTTTTAATTTGCCGTTTGTCCGTTTTTAATTCGCAGTGTAAAAGTATTGATTTTCCGCTGAAAAACCTGTATCGTTACAAAAATTACCATAATTGTAATGGGAAAATTAACAACTTTATACTATTACTATTGTGCGTTACGCCTTCTGATAATATCATTTTTTTTTTTTACAAACGTTATAAAAGTGTATCTCATTTCTGTTCCATCGACTTTCGTTGAATATTTATTGCCACTACCATATTTCCACGGTTATACGAAATACTATACAGTGTCAAAGGACGCTACAGCTACGTACTTTCGAGAATGGCTTTTGCATAAACCTTTTATTTGTAAAGCTCTAAGTTCTTTTACACCCGAGCTTTGATCCGTTCTTCAAAACCGGCAAAGATTTACACATTTTTGTTTTGGAGTTAAAATCGCAAAAACTTTAAGTGAGGATTTAGACTTGCGTGAGGGTTTTTTTTTTTTTCTTTTATTCTGTTACAATTTTCAAACGTCCTATGTTTTAATGCGCTGCGCACTTTTCGGCTGCATTTCTGCATCCTATAATAGACATAATGGATAGTATTTTTTTCAAAATATACAGAAATACGAATAAATGTAAAAATCATAGTTTTACACTGTGTTTTGAATTTAATTTAAAACCAAGCAGAATTCGGTATCTTGATTTTTTCCAAAATTAAGAGACCAACAAAAAAAAAAAATTTAAAAAATCAAAACTGATCCGTCTGGCCCGGATATTCTAACAAATACGTACCCGTATGTTTTTTTTTATTTTTACTATAACCTGTAATATTATATAATACCGTAACCGCCCGATAGGCAGGGCGATTCTCGTTACGCCATAGGTTCTCCCTACGTGGTCCCAAGTTCGATCCACCCGGATAAATTGATTTCGGCGCCGCAACTGGGCGTAAACATACGAAATCAGTGGCGAGCCGAAGCGGGACTAAAATGGGCGGATGGGTGTGCGACCAAATACGTCGATTTTCGATTAAGGTCAACCGAGATCAGAGATCAGAAACTCTCTTAGTTTTGTGTGTTATCATGCACGCACGAATATAATAGTTGTTGTATATATGTTATCAAGCCGAATAAGGATTTTGTTGTTTCGCCTCGAAAGCAAAAAGAAAAAAAACGCTGTACGACACAAATAATGATAATCCGCGCGCGTACGAAAAACTTTCTACGCGCGTAAGCGTGCAGCGCGATTCGGCATGAATTTCGTCCGTCCGTTGTACGGATAGCCTCGGTGTATATGACGAGCACCGTAACGTTGACGTTATCAGACGGGCGCCAAATATTACTGGCTATTCTCCGCGTTACACCGATCGCGCGTAGACGCGTGTTTTTTACTATTATTATTATTGTTATTTATTTTTTTTTTCCGTTCTTTGTCGAATTAACGTTTTCATCGAATTTTTCGCACGCGCGCGAGGAACTGGGAGATGGGTGGGGGGGGGCGGGGTAGGAACCCCGGCCAAAGGAGCGCGCGCGATCCGTTACGTACGTTGTGTACATCGGCCCTATCGACGGCGGCGGCGGCCCCGGTGCAAACGCAAAGCGCGCACGATATCGCTGCGCGGGCACGTTATAATACGATGAAAAAAAAACTCGTTTTATACAATAACAAACGGACTAATCGAAAGGATATGGATATGCGTATGAATATTTGTTTTTTTCGCTCGAATACGTTTATAGATTATTCGTGTGAAATGTCGTCTGTTATAATAGGTACACGGGGAAAACTCGATTGCACACGTTCGGCGACGGTGATGATCGGGGGGGGGGGCGGAAGGGCGGGCGTTTGTGGACGACAACAAATTTATAGCTAAAAACCCATTTATAAGGAAGGTGTGTGCGCGCGCGCGTCGTTTCATAACGTGATTATTTTTTTTTTTTCGAAACGGTTGTTTAAACACGTCGCGCAGTCGTCGCATGATACACGCGTTCGATCGAAACGGGCACGGGGAAAATCGCGTTGCCCGCTTAAAATAATGACACGCGCGAGTTTCTAAAATGCTGTTTACCGGTCTGAAATTTATCGTCGGCGCGCGTAATGACCGTTAACGCGTTACATGACGACCCAGCGACGGAATGCGCGCGTTTGTTCCGGATCGAAATCGCCATTTCATAATGTTATACGGGACGCGTTTCGGGCGACGACGCGGTTTTCGAGCGACGAAATAAAAAAAAATTTACAAAAAAAAAAAATCATACCGTACCGCACAAATAGGTACCCGTGTACCGCGGGTTAAACAGACACGTTGTACTGCGACAGACGTGTTCATCAACCGCGGTGTTAACTGCGTGATATTAAATGTCCAACTACATCGCGTCGTTCGAAAACGCCAAACGTTTGATCTGAATCGACAAAACGATTCGTCTGGTGTTTTTAAAGAAAGACCGAAAATTGTATCGATTATTGTTGACAATTTTAAATATTTTATTATTCTCAGTGGAGCAAAGAAACTTATGGTTTTGCAACCAGTTTTACTTGTGGTGTTGTGTTTTTTTTTTGCGCACAACTTTTCTACCAGAGATCTTGCTCGGATTTACAACGTTAGCACTTTTTCTGAAAGAAAATCTGACCGGGAACAGGTACATTAAAAAATGGTAATTTTTCGATTTTCCCAGGGGTTTTATCAACAAATGTGAAAAACCGAAAAAAATCGGGAAAATCGATGCATAAAACAAATATTATTAAAGAAAATATTTAATGCCTGTTTAATTACTCTGCCATAATATGACATATATTGTTGACAAAGCATCACTATCAACAGGACTCCGCTCAGAATCGTCTTTTCGTTAGCAGCGGTTTATCGTTATTACTTACACGTGTACATTAAATTACCAACAACGGTGGTTATACCCGTCTCCGTTATCCCCATTATCATAGAACGTTTTTTTGAAATACCTATATTATATAAAATGTGTAAAATATTAATTTTTGCGCAAATGACATATCGTTTTTGCACCTCTGGCGCTTATGTCATAAAGCCTCACGCTGGTAATTTACCGACCGAACCGATATGGTGATGTTGTTTAGTGCGAATTCCCGTGCAATGATCGCTTAGTGATGTGACATAGATCCGGATTAATGACAACCAAGTCCGAGACTACAAACAAGGGGATTTCGAAATATTGGCGTTTGTTTTTCAATTTTTTTTTTTTTTTTTTATCTATTTCCGTCAAATCGATTTACGATTGCGATTAGTTTTCAACATAAACGTTCGTTTTGCGAAAATCCGGATTTCGGATTTCAGATTTTGAAAATCCGGATTATCCCCATTCAGATTTTCTTCGTCACTAAACCGAATGTATTTTGTTCAACAACCAAGTTGCCGGAATCACCGAATAATAATTAGGAACTACGTTTACTGTCCTCGGTTACGGCATATTGTCTACCGATAAGAAATATTACCATTTAACATCCATTCTTATTTTTTAAATTTTTAATTCATTTTTTTTTTTTTAATTGTAATTAACTTAAATACTTTATTACAACAACTATTTATTTTATTGATGTTTGAGCAAGATGAATATGATAGTAAAATTTATGATGAAAACAAAAATGAAATTCTTTATAAAATTTAACTTTAGTACAGTCCTCATCGTCGTTCTACTCGCGACATTGTTACTTTTTTCATTTTATAATACGTTCCGACCTTATTGTCGACATTTTAGAACAATAAATTAATGAGGTCGCCTAATAAAGTTTAAAATTAGGTACAAATACTAATTCATGGACGTTACGTATATTTCGCTGTTCACATTTAAAATGTTAACAATTAATTAAATCAAATGTGAATTACTTAAAACAAAAACAAATGATACATCGGTTTCTTATCATAATATCATTATAGCTACAATAAAAAAAAAAAAAAAATTGTACAGCAAACAAGAATAGTAACTGAAATAACCATAATGGTAATGACACTATGAATCTATTTGGTTACTTTCGTTGTCATTCATTTTTAATATCATAGTATCATGGTAAGCAAGAATGACCTAATCAAAAAATGTTTATGACATTGTTAAAATTAGAAAAAAATACAACTTTTTATAAATTAATAAAAACTTTTGTATCGTTATTAAACTTCAAAAAAAAAAAATAATATTTTTTATTATCTGGTAATTTCACTTTAATAAAAAATCGATACCATTAAAACGGCCGTAAACGCGATAATTCTGGGGAGGCAGGCGACCCCTCTCCTATTTGGTTTTTTTTTATAGGCGTGT